ATAAGCTATTTTTTTGTCAATTTATTTTGGGATTCTAATCCATTTCGAATTCAATTTTGAAAAGTAAACGTTGCTGGAAGTGAGTCTTTTGGCAACATAGAAAACGCATTAAAACTAATGAATCATAAAGTCAGGGCGTGCCCATCAGCCATTATAAAAACAAAACGCGTGTTGGTAGGTACTATAAATGTATGTTTCATTTTAATAATACTCTACATTGTTATTCAACGGGATAATGTTAAATTCACAGATACATATGTGATATTAAACGTTATTTCATTGTGATTGCCGAAATTAAAATTTTTTTCAAAAAACAATTGAATTTAAAAAGTTAAATTATGCTGTCTTTTCACAAAAAAGGCAGATAAAAAAAAATGGAATGATTCGGTAACTTCGGCGTCAGAGCACTCCAGATTTTCGTTGTTTTTGTGATTTGATTGATTGATTTTAACCAGCTTTTAAATCCAATCCGTGTTTCACCATTTTTCTTTTTAAATTAAAAACCCTATAAACAAATACCAGCTCTGGCGTCGAATAGATTTAAAATCACACATGGTATCCGATTTTCAATTTTACGTTATATAAAACCGGTAATCAGATGCTAAACTCAAACACTACAAAAGTCTCCTTTTTGATACAACGTTTAATTACAAAACCAAATATCAACATTTAAAAGAACCACTGACGTTGAATATTTATTTTAATAGAGAATTCACGAATATTTCATAACTTACTAGATAGAGCACGCTTTGAAATTAAATAAAAATTGCTATCGTAACTTCGATCAGTATGTCACTGGAGAATGCTATATGTTTAAAATACACTGCTTTTGTAATGAAAACAAGTTAAGGCGTGTACATCTAGACGAGTCAATATTTTTTGGTTAAGATTATGAATATTAATGATTTATTGTTCTATTCACCACGCAACATATTGAGTGTAAATATCGAATTGTATTTATCTAGATATACGTACTCAACAAATGTTCACGATTGATTTCCACGGTGAAGGAATAACATCGTGTAATAAAAATGAAACCCGCAAAATTATAATTTGCGTAAATACTGGTGGTAGGACCTCTTGTGAGTCCGCACGGGTAGGTACCACCACCCTGCCTATTTCTGCCGTGAAGCAGTAATGCGTTTCGGTTTGAAGGGTGGGGCAGCCATTGTAACTATAATTGAGACCTTAGAACTTATATCTCAAGGTGGGTGGCGCATTTACGTTGTAGATGTCTATGGGCTCCAGTAACCACTTAACACCAGGTGGGCTGTGAGCTCGTCCACTCATCTAAGCAATAAAAAAATTAAAAAAAAAAGTTTATAATGCTTCATTAGGCATTTCATCCAATGCAGATATGCTTATATGTTTTCAAAGTACTTCAACGTAAATGTAAAATTGTATTCAACTGTATTGAACATAAATTTAAATTCACTAAACTGTCAATCCGGAATGAAAAGCGAAGACAATGAAATAAAATATCGTTATCCAGTGATGTGTCAGGGCTTCTGCGACATCTGTGACATTGTAACTATACTTGAGACCTTAGAACTTATATCTCAAGGTGGGTGGCGCATTTACGTTGTAGATGTCTATGGGCTCCAGTAACCACTTAACACCAGGTGGGCTGTGAGCTCGTCCACTCATCTAAGCAATAAAAAAATTAAAAAAAAAAGTTTATAATGCTTCATTAGGCATTTCATCCAATGCAGATACGCTTATATGTTTTCAAAGTACTTCAACGTAAATGTAAAATTGTATTCAACTGTATTGAACATAAATTTAAATTCACTAAACTGTCAATCCGGAATGAAAAGCGAAGACAATGAAATAAAATATCGTTATCCAGTGATGTGTCAGGGCTTCTGCGACATCTGTGACATTGTAACTATACTTGAGACCTTAGAACTTATATCTCAAGGTGGATGGCGCATTTACGTTGTGGATGTCTATGGGCTCCAGTAACCACTTGACACCAGGTGGGCTGTGAGCTCGTCCACACATCTAAGCAAAAAAAAAAAAAAAATCTGTCTTTGAGGAAACCTGTATTCTGAACTCATTCATAGTTAATGCTGGAATCAATTGATTTAAATTTAAGCAGCAATCGCAAAATGAACCAATTAAAACTGAGCCAATAATTATGGTATTGACATTAACAATACATTACTAACAGAGTGCCAGCTAACAACTAACAAACGCTTCACTTTAACTGGTGGTAGGACCTCTTGGGAGTCCGCACGGGTAGGTACCACCACCCTGGCTATTTCTGCCGTGAAGCAGTAATGCGTTTCGGCTTGAAGAGTGGGGCAGCCGTTGTAACTATACTGAGACCTTAGAGCTTATCTCAAGGTGGGTGGCGCATTTTCGTTGCACATGTCTATGGGCTCCAGTAACCACGCAACACCAGGTGGGCTGTGAGCTCGTCCACCAATCTAAGCAATAAAAAAAAAGAAAAAAGTACATTATTCTCAAATGAAAACAACTTGGGATCGTGATTATAGAACAATCAACATTCTACTGTGGTAGGGATCTGGAAGTACCTAATTAATTTGCTACCTTCCACACCCTAGTAATTAACCGACTCCAGAACAGGAAGAGATATTTAATTGGACTGTATTTGTCTTTTATGTGTGTTAACCTGAAACTTTTTAAAAAAACTTAAACTTTTTTAGGTGAACCGATTTTTATGTTTATTTATTTGTATTTTTTTAATAATTTGAAGACTGGTGTGGCTCATGTAGTTCGTTAGTCAACCTTAATAATGCAGTGATGTTATTTTCATTTTATTTTGTCAAAGTCGATTTTCCTTATTGTTAATATTATGTAGCATAATTCGACGCTTGAAAGGCAAACGTGACTAAGCGACAATGCGTGAAATTTACCGTTGACTAATTTAAAGTTGAAATACCTGAAAAAAAATTCTATTTTAACGAATCTAGCTGTAGGATTGAAATGATTTTAATAAACCTAGAAATATATTTTTTTTTGCGCATCGAATATGGTTATTGCCTATCATTTATGTACAAAGCATTTATTGTCGCTTAGTCACGTTTGCCTTTGAAGCGTCGAATTATGTTATTGGGTAAAATACTTCTAATTTAGATTTTAAACTATTCAATTAATTTAAGGTCCAGTGTGAAGGAATCCTTAACTAATGCCTCACCGCGATAACTCGATAAACAAATAGATAAAATATTACGTTATCCTTATCATGAACGGCTCTTCAAATTTTATTCACTGAATGGAGTTTGAAAGAATTTCATTTTAGCACAAAACATAAAAGCGTGTATGGTTTTTCACTGTATCTAGAAATGATAGGTTAGTTGATTGTATGTCCAGAAAACAATAGACTATATGTAGGAAGTTTCGAAGAACAGGGGCATCATAACCTATGACGACGACACTAAATTGAAAACGTGAGATCGTAAACTCAATTTCATTGGAATGTGTAATTTCATCTTTATCTTTCCCATCTTTGGGGACTATAGCGAGGAGTGTGTGAGATCGTGGAATTTCCATTGGTGTGACGAAGCCCACAAATCAGTGTTATGCCAACGATACAATAATTTTCGCGTCCAACGTAGTGAAAATGTACAACTTACTGGGTAAAATGGAATGAACTAGCAGAAAAATTGAGCTTCTCATATACAGAGCTAAAACCATAATTATGTTGGACGATTGCAGCTTGCCACTCACTATGCCAAACAAGTGAAATTTTGAAATAATAGAAGATTTCATATGTCTAGGCTCTGTCATAGCTAGTAACGGGCTATGTGAGAAGTTGTGAGAAGTTTACTGGTGGTAGGACCTCTTGTGAGTCCGCATGGGTAGGTACCAGCACCCTGCCTATTTCTGCCGTGAAGCAGTAATGCATTTCGGTTTACTGAGACCTTAGAACTTATAACTCAAGGTGAATGGCGTATTTACGTTGTAGATGTCTATGTGTTTCAGTAACCACCTAACACCAGGTGGGCTGTGAGCTCGTCCACCCATCTAAGCAATAAATAATAATAAAATAAAAAAGGCAGAAACAGAAAGCAGAGGCAGAAGTCTAATGGGCTGGTCGAACTAGATACGCTCTACCCACAACACTTCAAACAATGCCATCCACACAGCTAAAGATAAACTGAGCTAGCTCAAGATAGTCAACGAGGAAGTCGTTCAGAGAGGCCACGACGCTCAGCATTGAGGATTATCAACTCAAAAAGGAATCTCCAAATAAATCGGAGTACAACGTAAATGCGCCACCCACCTTGAGATATAAGTTCTAAGGTCTCAGTATAGTTACGACGTCTGTCCCACCCTTCAAACCGAAACGCATTACTGCTTCACGGCAGAAATAGACAGGGTGGTGGTACCGACCCGTGCGGACTCACAAGAGGTCCTACCACCAGTAATCATTAATTAATCAGTATTGCATAATACTTTTTTGAATTCGAATGAGATATAGATTTTTGAAAAATACTACCTTTCCTATTGAGTCACCAGCTTCCCATCAGTGTCTACAAGCTATCTATAAACCTCGAGACATTACTGAATTACGGTCTGAAGAGAACGCTGTTGGCAGAAATCATTTAAAACCAAATGACTGCATGTCTATCGGGCCATTTAATTCTAGAACTATTTTAAAAAAAAACGAACCTAGTATCAAGTAATACGAAAAGCAAATCCAGCGAAATCGTTATCAGAGTATTTCAGGATAATAGCGACGGCTCTGTATTGTCTGTCGAATCCTACGTCCTTGTTTCATCCAACACTATCCATGCCGGTCCTGAGATTTAGGTAACATAAATAAAACAATTTTTTTATTCTTTTACATAATGTAATAAAATACATTAACTAAACAAATGTGATCAAGAAATACACGAAAATGCAGCTTACAGGCGTAATATTTAAGTATCTTAAACTACAAAGTATGGTCTAAAACGTAGGTACATTAAAGTTTGTTCTTTAAAAAATATAACAAAAATTGTTTTCCATCAAAAATAGTGTAGATTCCATAACATATTGAATTTATTGACAATCAACACTGATAATGTTTTGTTTTGAAAATACCAACATTCAGAATCGTATAGTTGCAGCCAACACTTAGGCAACTAATGACTGAATTTATACATTATACTGTAAAATAAAACTCTGTTTTTATATGTATCCTCAAACACATTTAGACCTATTTGTTCTTCAAGGTAAAAAGCGATATCTATTTAGTGCTATGCTCAGTTCATAGCTCAAAATAGAATTAAATAACAGAACTAGAATGTTATTTTTACAGTTAATGATCTATTGAACCAACTGAAATATTTAGCGATTGTAGCTTCCAATGTACGCGTTGCAATTCGGACAGTAATGGTTTGCATCTTTGCAGGAGTCCGTGCAGTAAGGGATACAAGCACATGGGCAACAACTGAAAAAAAATTAAATACATTCATATTCAAAAGTATACACAATATTTGCATGTCGTCGTGGTCTATAGGATAAGAGGTCTCGTATCAAGCAAAGCGACTGTGTGGATGTTCAAATCCCGCAAATACCATTATTTCTATTGTTTTCACGATGAAGGAATGACATCGTGTAATAAAAATCAGACCCGCAAAAGTTGTAATTAGTTACTAAACAATTGAAATATAGACCTTACGGCTTCAGTAACAATTTTACATCGAGCGAGCATAAGCTCGTTTATCAGCCCTTTATGCAATAAAAAATTTTTTGCATGTTTGTAAAAGTATTGACGAATTCTCCCTACTTTCCTGATCTTCACTGGGTCGACACTACAATCAAAGTCGAAGTTATCTATACTAATATATAAATCTACACTGGTTTTTACGGATGTTCCGTTATAACTACTGAACCATTCATCCGATTGACTTTAAACTTGGTATCCATGTAGAAAATACATGTACTTAATGAATAGGCTAATATTTATATGAGTGTTGGTCTCCCTACACCAGTTGCGGTGGCGTTAATGATGAGAATCTTTATGGGGGTGAGAAATAATAATGTTAATTTGAAATGCCCAGCAAAGCGGACGGGTACAGCTAATTTCCTTGTTTATTTTGTGAACAAGGTAAAGTTGATTGTTTTGGAAACAGCAACACAACAAGCAACGATCATTGCGGTCAATTGATGTAAATTTATCAATTTGAATGATTACGTGGCGACAAAACTATGTGAATATTAAAATATAACTTTACGGTTTTTTTTTATTTTACTGCATTTACCTGGTGGACCTGGTATTGAGTGGTTACAGGAGCCCGCGGCGTAGATCTGAACCACAAACTGCCACGCTCATTGAGACATGAGGTCGAAGCTCCCATAGTACTGCATAACGTATTGCCCCACCATTCATACTGGAACGCGTGACTGCATCGCGGCAGAAATAGGCAATTGATGGTACCTAATTACTTCACGATGCTATTCCCTACATCGTCGAAGTCGTCCGTGAACACTGTCAAGTTGTTTTCTTAGAACATTTGATACTTTCAGGCGGGATTTGCGATATAGTCGCATCACTTCATACTTTTTTTTCCTATCTAACCGGTAGCCTTTAGAGGTTATGCTAGCGTAACAGAGCGAGTTGTTGAGAGCTCACGGGGCTCTAATCTGAAAGAATTTGCTACCGAAGAATTGCACCGAGAAATACTAAAGATCGGAAATCTTGATACTAGTGAAACACGGATCACGATATCAAACGTCAATTTATTGTGTTCATAACTTACCCTATTAGGCAAAGAAGCAAAGCAAACAGGTGGGTTTTAGTCACTGGCACGTGATCTACTCTGGTGACGATTGCCGCACTGCATGAAGGGCAGCTTGTGTTCGTGGGCTCAGGGCCCATTCGCTGTGCCGGGACAACTGTAACGAACTGCTGGGGGGGCGCGGGGGCGACGGAAGGAACGGCCGGGTATAGACCTGGCTGTGTCTGGTTATTGTACGGAGGCGGATTTTGTTGAGGCGGTGCGTAGCCCACGCCAGACAAATCAGTTTTTTCTGAAATATAATAAATACATAGTTTGGTTCGTTAAATTTTGCATTCGTTTCACTAACGTAAGTTATTTCCTTCTTTTTTTTAAAGGCAATTAATTTAATAATAGAATTATTTATAGACAAATTTAAAATATTAAAATAAATATCAAATTAAATTAATTTTAAAATAAAAAAATAAAAGTTTTTTAGAGAGCGGCTTGGCTTTGCTCCTGGCGTTGTTCACATCCATGAGCGACGGTAACCAATGTGTGGTTCCATCAGACGGGCCGCATGCTCGTCTGTCTACAAGGGCAATAAACAAAATTAGGTTTTTTATTTTATTTTAAGCCGAATGTTTTTCTAAGTACATATTAAAAATTTCCCAAATCGCGTAAAAATCAATGCACTCTGGGCTTTTAAATAAATGACCCGCTTAAATATAGTTTTATAATTCAAATACTAGAATTTTATGAATACTTCATATTATCTAAACAGAAAAGGAAATATTATTCGTTTACGACACTATCACGGTACTTTAATTTTATCATTAACATCGCTTCAGCGCTGGATCCGTAACATTATAAGAAAAAACAAATATAGCATTAAGCGCGATATGTGATTGTGCCAGTATGGAAAATCTACCACAGTATTGAAATCGGGAGCGCGAGCGAAAAGCACATATGAGCTATCCCAACGTGCGAGTGAGAAACAAATAAAACATTTTACTTCAAACCGAGTTAGTTCGAAAAGGACAGTTTATACTAAATTCAAAATTTCAAATGTTTTCGTTGAATATACTTTCAAGAATGGCTTGAAGATGAATGGAAGATTTTGTTACAATGAACCTAATGTTTTGATTGTTAGTGTTTAACATCCTTTACATAGATAGACACAGAGCAATGTCCATTGATTTAACTTTGGTACAAAAAAACAATAACGCATGACAGTTCACATTAACAATACATTGCGGAACTTCCGCTTCGCACTACCTATATGGCTCGGTATATAAAACTAAGTACTCGTCTTCGACTGATACATAGCTTACTAATATTTTATTGTCTTGCCGAACCGACTAAAGAAACTTGTGCGGCCACTCCCTGCCGTTGACGAGTGATCAATTTAATTCATATAAAACCTATTAGAAATCAGCCGTCGTTCGAACTTACAAAAGAATCTTCTTTTCATTACTGGGCTAAGACGGGCAATGCATTATCACCCACCTTGAGATATAAAGCCCAAGTGTCAATTGCACAGCACAATAACAGTCCCATTGAAAGCGGAACCCGTTAATGCTTCGTGGTAGAAATAGGCAGGGTCACCAGACAATCTACCACCAGCTATAAAGTTACTTATCTGTGGTCGCGCTATGACCTTGACCTGCGCCGATTGATTGCTTACAGATAAGCTATTATAGAGATAGTGGTATGGAAATGGTAGTGCAAGGTGGAGGGGGAAGAGGTCTACCGAAGAAGACATGGATAGAATGTGTGAATGACGATATGAGAGAGAGAGAGAAGTGAGTATTGAGATGAGAATGGGATAGAAAAATTCGCTGTGCCGACCCCACCTAGTGGGATAAGGTGGAGTCAAAGAAGAAGCTATTATAGAGATGTCTTAATTGGCCATATAGGTGCACTTTAAGCCCATCTGATGTCAAGTGGTGTAACATCAGTAGTTGGACAGCCAGGCCGCCACATTTATAATTATGTCATAGTGTCCCAACAATATTTTTTTTAGTAACTAACGTAAATGCTTAACATCCGGCCCAATTCGTAATATTATAGTACGGTACGGTCCATACTTTTAAGACTTTAAAAGTATGTTTACAATATTTATATATTTATAGATCACGACACTTAGGCATATTGATATTATAGTATTACAACGTGACATAAAAGTTTAATGCAATCGGAACAACATCGTAATTAATCAAAGTGTGTTTATTAAACTGTGACGTCACCGCAGAGTAAAGTTAACCTATAGGTATCGATTTTGGTCACGTGACCCATTTTACTATCACAGATCATTGATATTTGATAGATTCTTTTAACTATAAGGTTCTTTCACGATGACTTACTTCGAAACCTTCAAGATCTCATGATTTTCGATAGTAAAAATTCTAACTGAAGAAAACAAATTTTGCGAGAAATCGATTATAGTGGTAGATATCGATTTTAGTTTAATCAAGAAGACCAGAGGACACGACAAACTTCATTTTCATTCTTTGACAAGCTATTCACGGTGACTTTTTTATTGCCCTAGGTGAATGAACGAGTTCTCGGCCCATATGGTATTAAGTGGGCACACCATATCGTAAATATCGCGGCCCGCCCTCAGATGTGGAATACAGCTCCCCACTCTTCAACTAACTGACCGATTGTTTCACAGCAAAACTGGACAGCATGGCCTTTGGCTGGGCATGGTTTGAGAGGGTCACAATTTACCCAACGACTATTATTCAGATAATACACACCGGATAAGACTAAGAATTCCATACGTACACGTGATGATCGCGTACGTGACCATGATTCTATTGTAAACTATTTTAAATTTTAACCCCGCCCTATGATAATATCTCGGCAGTCGCGAAACTATGTCTTGAGATAATTTAGAAAAACAACTAACTGACAAGCGCGCCCTTGGAACCGCACAGTGAACTGCTGTTGAATAAATTTGATTATTTATCACAATATTTTACAAGCACGTGTTTACTATAACGACTATTACTACAGCATATTGTGACACGCGAAAAAAAAACACATTAATAGATACTCATCTTCATTTAACTTTCAAAAATGACTCATTGTAATGTTTTTTTTTACCATGGCACTAACTCGGAGCATTAAATAACAGTGATGATGCCCACACTTCACGGAATAACATTTGAACCGTGTCCCTAAAAAAAAATTGCAAGTACTCACGTTCATTATGGGCCATTTCGATTTAGTTTCACGAATCACAAAATGTTTTATACCAGAGCTATTTAACGAACTATAAAAATGAATGGCGTCCACGTCCGCCTCGGACGATCCACGGTATCTGAATGTGTAATGTGAACGTCGAACTGTAAACAAAAAAACATTTCGGCTGACTGAGTCGAATCGTAGGCCTACATAGCTCCTTTTCTTAAAGTAATAAGTACTATTATTATTATCAAAGTCACTATTCGAGTTTTATTTATTTATTGTACACTAACTGACCCGGCAGACTTCGTAGTGCCTCAGTCGATAAATAAAAGACCTAAACTTTTGTATAAAATAAACTTAAAACAAACAAAAGGAGTTTTTATATTTATCTACCTTTTAAACTCTGGACTTTTACAAATAATTCAAGACCAAAATTAGCCAAATCGGTCCAGCCGTTCTCGAGTTTTAGCGAGACTAACGAACAGTAATTCATTTTTATATAGATAGTCTAGAAATTGTGTTCTAAAATTAAACTAGTATTACAATTTATTTTTATATGTAATTTTTTAAAAAATCAAGAATTTATTTATGGCAATGTATAGTAACAGAAGGTTATCTTTTTAAATCGTATGCTTTGTGGTATATGACAGTTTTTTTTTTTTTATCTTAATTAGCCGAGCGGTTTGGTCGAATACACGAATCTACTTGACCTTGAATTCAACTCTTACCGATGTTATTCAATTTTTTAATAAGTTATCACGAGCACTTCAACCTGTTATAATGGACCGTTTATATATCATTGAAGAAATTAGGTAAACGAAAAAAAAAAAGTGATATGCTTAATAATTAGCTTGTGAAAACTAATTTAGCAGCAAGCGTTATAACGCTAACGTCGCTTTATGGTACTGCTAAAGCGCTAGTGTTGGCCCACTAAGGCACTACCCTATCTCTTTCGGTGGGTTTCGCAAAAGGCGAAATGTATTTATAGGAAAATGGGCAGTGAATTCTGAGTATTACAAGTACGTACTGCGATCGCCAACAAATATTTAATGATTCTAGAGCCTCTTGTACATCCGCATGGGTAGATACCTATCACCCTGCCTATTTCTGCCTTTTTTCCCTACCTATGCTGATTAGCCTTGAGAGGCTATTTCAGCTTCAACCTAACATGTAGGTGAGCTCACGGGGCTCAAACCGGAAGTGTTGCTAACACTGGCCCTTACAAGAGCAGTGCTTTGCAGAATCTACCACTGAGAAGATCCGGCCAGAAACTTAGTGGGCCGTATCTGTGGGTTAATTCACTCGTCGAGCCCTTCGTCGCAACGGGTTCGACGAGGACGGTGACCGGTGCTTGTGGTACCTAGAAGCACCCTATTTCTGCCGATGAGACTGCCGCTATATATATATAAAACATTTTAAACTTCCACCTCATTTCTTAAGGTGCCCGTTTGTTTACCTATCTACAAAATAAATAAATAGTTAACACATTTTTCTCGTTTGAATTATACTAAGGGGAATTTCGAAGTAATCAAAACAATTTGACATAATTTGATAGGTATTATTGAATGTACAAAACGCATAACAAAATTTTATCAAAAATTAAAACGGACTTCAACAAAATAAATTAATGACAGTATTAATGTATTAGTTGTTAATAAACTATCCATTAGTTAGAAGGATAACTCAAAACGTTCTGATCAGATCTTGAGAAAATTCATAAGGGACCACAAAATAAGCACCATCCTTCAAATAACTAAAAAAAAAACAAAATCGGCTCATCTACAAGAAAAAAGTTTTTAGGTAATATAAAAAACCACAGTCCAATCGGACGTCATTCTTTTTTTAAGTCGACTATTATTTTTTATTAAGTTGATGTTATTATTATTACGTACAACATTTTTATTCTCGAATTTTGATGAATTTCGGTAAATACTGAAAACCACGGACCGAAGCCAAGTGGAGCAGTTTTAATTTCGTCTGATGTTTCATCCTGCAAAAACTTCCGAACAATCCGGCAGGTATTGTGGCTTTTTACAAGATAAAAAATATATTTTTGGGTAAATCTAATAGCTTGATGGAGCGGTGAAGGTACTTTGGTATGACTCATTTCCAAACTCTAGTAATTTCTTCCTTTAATTCTGTATATTTATGTATTTTTTCAGTTATTGTTTTCTGCATATTACGGGTATTAGAAACTGCTATTTCAGAGCTAGCTTTTGGTGAACTATGTGAGCTACCTGATTGTGCCTATGTGTGTAATCGGTTTGTGTGAGTGTCAGGCAAGCACTTGTTATATGTTGTATGGTTTCGGATTGACGATTACACTTTCTGCATTTATCATTTCGTAAATGAGTCTTTGATTACACATTGAATTTTCTATATATTTTTTTGTATTTATCACTTGATCCTGAATCGCGGCCATAAAGCCCTCCTTTTCTGGAAATAAATATCCTAATTTAATGTGATTTTGTTCTAGATTATGTATGTGCCTACCGTGAAGTTCCTTCTTACGCCATCTCTCTTTTTTTCTGTTTCAAGAACTTTTGCAAATTTGTATTCTATGTCTTTTTGTTTCAGATTTAGTGGTGTATATTTATCGTCTAATTATTCAATAGCTTTGTGTATAATACTAGTATCAGATTTTTTTATTAAAGGATTTGCGCAGATTTTTTAACTAATTTTTCCATTGTATTTTTAAATATATCAGTCCTCTTCCACCTTTCTCTCAGCTTTTCTTTATTATCATTATTATTAATATTATTATTTATTATATTAGCAGGATTCTTTATATCTCGAAAGTAAATCTCTATCTTTTCGCACGAAAATGTACATACATAATATTTTCCTTCAACGCTTCTACTTCGTCATTTTGATTACTGAGAAGTCTGCTTTTGATATTCATCTTTGAAAACTCGAAGCATTGCATTATCTCTACATTAACTTCATATACGATCTGCGGAAGTGGTAAGTGCCAGAATTTCGGTAACGTTAAGATTAACACGACTTTGAAAATTTTGTGAATTCCAGTTTTGGAAATTATTTGTCGGGAATTCTGACATAATTAGCTAAACACTGACATTCTTCAGTTCCCCCGTCAGCAACAATATGGACCCAGCGAATCCGGTATTCGCTAATATATTCCCATTATATACGTAAGTACGTAATTTTTTTCACAGAAACGTTAGACTTAAATTTTATGTTAGAATTATACCATAAAACATTATATAAATGAATTAACAAGAAGAGCGCTGTTCTTACAAATGAAACTACAATACGTATCTTATCATTTCGCGAAGCGGCATAAAAGGTTATCTTTCTCTAGACAAGAGTATTCAACTGTTTAAATGAATTAGGTAAGAAATGTTGTATAAAATCAATCTATTAAAACTTCACTTAACTTTGTCTATTACTTCTCTGTTAGCTTGAAACGATTAAAGGTTTAGAAGTGCTTCAAAAAATGTATATCAACTTCATCGAAATATAAGAATATTATGTTATTCTATGTTAGCGACAATATATTCGCTAACTTAGGCATTGCTAGCCGTATAACAGCTCTGTAGCTGTGCAGACGCATGTGATTCCTATAGACAAGCTCCAGGCCGTTAAGGTGTCAATCACCGCCAACTTAAGCTTCCTTTTCAGGTATATCTCAGCAAAATAAAAATTTGGGATATTAATGGACGGGATGGGTATTTCGCTGTTCACGGCCAGACGCAGCGAGGAGCTTATAAAAAACCATTAAGGGCGATTAAGGACGATGTGATATGGTTTAAGATACATAACATAGAATTCACCATCTCGTCCAGCAAAAGGCTGCGCCGGATCAGCGGTGGTAGTATGCCAAGAACCCAACAAACTATGGATACATGGGATGAAATGCATTATTGATAAATAAAATATTTTATTTATTTATTTATATATTAAATATATTATTGTAAATGCATACAATACTAAATGAAAGGTTCCAACATGTTTCATGAAATGCTCAATTCCGCGCAATTAGAAGTGAAGATCATGAAATCTGAATTAACCGATGTTCGACAATCACATACAACATGTTGTAACCCTTCTTATCTGTTTTCCAGAAATGTACATAGATTCGCACAAGACGTTTTATCTTATCGACCGTTTAATCGCACTTGGTGATCTTGAAAAAGCACACTATTGAGATAATAATATATCTATATATTAATACGTGAAGCAAAAACTTGTATCCCTTTTTACGAAAATTGCGCGAACGGGGGAGTATGAAATTTTCCACACTTATAGAGAATATAGAGAATAAGTGCACAATGCTAATATATTTTTTAAATAGGTAATGCATATAAGATACATTAAATCAATAAAGAAAACATTACACACATTACATACCATGTATTTGACGCACACACGCTTGCACATTATTTATTGTGAAACTTTTGTTCTTGACGTCTGTTGTCAAATTGAGAATAAATTAAATATTGTTTGCCTTTGTTAATATTTTTTATAGTGTAGTCTTGGCGAAATTTGTGATTATAGAAGTATAAAATACAATCATAATAGTGTACAAACTTACAATTCCAATTATTTATAGTCGAATTTCGACTACTGCGGGACCTCTAGTTCAAATAACTTTGTAATTTTTTTATTGCCCGTGTAGGCAGACGAGCACACGGTCTGATGGTGAGTGATTACCGTCGCTAATGGACGTCAGCAACCTCAAGGCCAAAGCCAAGCCGCTGCCTTTTTTACTCTCCACAAGCCTCGTTTGAAGAAGGACATGTCCTAGCACCATTCGTTGAGGTACCATTAGTAGTATAGCTATAGGTAGGCAGTATAACTGGCAATAGGCCAGTAGTAAAACAATTTTCCAGTCGATGAATAATTCACCTTAATCATCTGTGACCGGGAAAGCTGTAAAGTATTCAAAACGTCACAAATAATATATACACAATTTAAAAAAAGCGATATTAAATCTTTACAATTTAATTATGACCGTATAGGTCTTTTTTTATACATATTTTTGCTATAATAGCTCATCCCAGTATTGGAAAACTTGTCGCAAAATAGTTTATTATAAATATAACAAAACATAAATCAAATGTTCTTGACAACAATACCTATTGATTTTTTTCAAATTAGGGAAGGATATATTGTGACATATTTAATATAAAGTTCACAAGAGAATAAACAGTTGAAGAGAGATATATGTACGCCCAACTGAAATAATGTTTTTTTATTTATTTGCATTTATCACAAACTCATCAATTTGTATAGGTTCCAATGTAGGCGTTGCAATTCGGACAGTAATGAGTAGCATTTTGACAGCTTTCCATGCAGTAAGGGATGCAAGCACATGGCCAACATCTGAAAATATAAGATTGATTAATGATAATTATTAAGAAGACACAAGTAGGAAATCATATCAATCAATTAATTAGAACTATCATATCAATCAATTGGTACTATAATAATAACACGTATTATATATCACGGGCCGCTTTTGAAGCTGATCAATTAGTGTTAACTATTCAGACTCTATCTGTTATATTTTTTACATGTTACTTCATAGGCTCACAATTATTTAAATATTAGACGTTCACTACCTTTTCTGGAAATAGCGTGATTACCTGTCGTGTTGATCAAAAACTCTTGATTTCAGATTTTATTTTAAACTAACTGACCCGGCAGACTTCGTAGTGCCTCAATCGATAAATAAAAGACCTAAACTTTTGTATAAAATAAGCTTAAAACAAACAAAGGGAATCCGTCCAAACATCAAAAGAAAAACAAAATTGTTATTTTATTTAATTCCGAGCATTTTCATATTTATCCACTTTTTAAACCTTCTCTAGACTTCCACTAATTAATCACAGACCAAAATTAGCCAAATCGGTCCAGCCGTTCTCGAGTTTTAGCAAGACTAATAAACAGCAATTCATTTTTATATATATAGATTTATTTGGTCTGTGATCCATACAAAGAAGGAAAGACGCGTAGTTTAGTGCAAATAATAGGCAATAGTATCTATAGACCTTGAAACTTTTTGTTCTTAAAAAAAAAAGATATTCGCTTATAGTAAATTATAGTGAATCATAAATCCTATTCTACTGAATGTTCAAGTCATCGGACAACACTTTATTTGACTTGAAATAAGCTTTTTAAATTACTCAAACGGACATTTTTTCTGTGTACTTGATATCATAATCGAGTCTCCTTTAAATCCTAAATAATCTAAATCATCGTTTTTTTGTCTCCATAATTATTCATTGACGTTTTCGCAAAAACAGCGGACCACAAACACCCAATAACACAATAGGGTCATAGTTAAATGTCGCTTTTGTTCTTTGTAATTATTATTTATTGCTTAGATGGGTGGACGAGCTCACAGCCCACCTGGTGTTAAGTGGTTACTGGAGCCCATAGACATCTACAGCGTAAATGCCGCCGCTCACATTGAGATATAAGTTCTAAGGTCTCAAGTATAGTTACAACGGCTGCCCCACCCTTCAAACCGAAACGCATTACTGCTAAATAGACAGGGTGTACCTACCCGCGCGGACTCACAAGACGTTCTACCAACAGTAAAAATTAAAAATCTACTTACCCTATCAAACAAAGGATTAACGCAAAAAGATGAGTCTTGCTCGAAGCATCGTGTTGAACCCTAGTTACGATGACCGCGGTACAGGAGGGGCAGGTTAAACTTGATGGTTCAGGGCCCATTGGTCGCGCTTGCACAACCGTCACGAATTGTTGAGGAGCCACGACGGGGACGATAGGAACATTAGCATATGGAACTTGCTGGGGCTGATAGTTGTAAGGAGGCGGATTTTGTGGAGGAGGCCCATAGTTCGCGCCAGACAGATTTCCTTTATCTGAAACATGAGTTTGTACCTACATTTAATAAGGAAAAGATATTAATATATTTTCTTTAGTTATGCTTTGATGGATGGACGAACTCACAGCCCACCTGGTGTTAAGTGGTTACTGCGGCCTATAGATATTTACAAATGCGCCACCCACCTTGAGATATAAGTTCAAGTTCTCAAGTATAGTTACAACGGCTGCCCCACCCTTCAAAGCGAAACGCATTACTACTTCACGGCAGAAATAGGCAGGGTGGTGGTACCTACCCGCGCGGACTCGCAAGAGGTCCTACCACCAGTGAATTTTTTCTATCAAATCAAACTAATATTATTATTATTGTTGTTGTTTTGTCTAGATGAGTGGAAGAGCTCATTAAAGCCCACCTAAACCCCCTGATGATAGCTATTGGAGCGAATGGACATCACAACCTGAGTGCCGCCGCTCACCTTGAGACATGAGGTNGTGGTGGTACCTACCCGCGCGGACTCGCAAGAGGTCCTACCACCAGTGAATTTTTTCTATCAAATCAAACTAATATTATTATTATTGTTGTTGTTTTGTCTAGATGAGTGGAAGAGCTCATTAAAGCCCACCTAAACCCCCTGATGATAGCTATTGGAGCGAATGGACATCACAACCTGAGTGCCGCCGCTCACCTTGAGACATGAGGTCGAATCTCATTTATATTCCGTAATTCCTGTCTTACCCTTCAAATTGGAATGCATGTTTGGTTTGAGGCCGAAATAGGCGGGACGATGGTGCCCAACCATTTGGTCGTACAATATCCGTACCAGTATTTACGCAAATTAATTATTTTCCGGTTTTGATTGTTATTACACGATGCTAAGATTTATATATTGAAATTTCCTTATTGACGCTCACGTTTTTTCGAACAGGAAAAAATGCAAAATTATTTAGATACCTATCATCTCAAACCATACGTGACTTCAGTTTTGCACGACTTTATATAAAATTTAATAAAATACTACCGAAATATTGTAAAAGTATTTGATACGAAAAGATTTATGTTTATATAACATTATTTGTGTAATAGCTAAACACATTGCCTATGCGATGAGAGCCCATAATGACCGAAAACACAGATATCGCCACCCCCAATGAAGTAAAATCTGGTTTTATTGATAGAAAACTTGTGGTGTGTGGTAGTTTAATTGTTTTTCAGCATTGCGAATAAAGAATAAACCGACGACAAAGCCATGCGGCCTTGGAACATGCACTATCTTTGCTGTTCTTATGCAGAAACTAAAGATAAGGAATTAAGGAATTGCGTACAAGAATAGGTCTGGTTACTGCAGACAGTGATAGGTGCACGTGGCGTATATATAATAATATATAGTACATAGCTTAGAGAGAGAGAGAGAGAGAAAGAGAGAGAACATACTTTATTGCACCACAAAACACAATTAACATCAGAAAACAGTCAACAAGCAGATACGTTACATCTGTACAATAGGCGATCTTATCGCTAAAAGCGATTTCTTCCAGACAGCCGTTTAATTATCCGAAATTCTGGACAGATAAAGATACAGCAGGTATATATGTTGCGGTGTACTATTAACAACACATTATTAAAGAAAATACATACATACAATAAATATATATAAGTATATATCGTTAAACACAATAGCTTAGGTGTGCTATAGTAATATTGTATTAGATTTAGGTGATTTAGTGTACGTTTTGTGAAATCACATGCCAAAATACGGGCTTTCGCTCATTTCAAATGTAAATATGTCAAGCACAGTGCTCGCGAAGATATGCCCTAAATAAGAAAACATTTCAACTGTTTATTTTGTTATTCGATTGCAAAGGTGAACGAACTTGCTGGTCGAAGTTCTACAGGCGCTGTCCTAAAATGTATCTTAACTCAATTTAGGAGAACTTCGTCTTTAAAACTCCTTAGTATCCGTGGTATGTAGGTATATCATTTCCATCGCGTTGTGTTTACGACGCGCCAAGCGCCAAATATTCGCCCATAGATTACACACAGGATGTCAGCAACAACACAGTTAAACTTATACACGCACACGCACAATGAATTAACAGTAATCATAATAATGTACTCACGTTCAAAGTTGGCCATTTTAGTTGTTATTTCACGACACGCAATATATAATGTCGACACGAATACAATTCCGTACGTCCGCGTCCGACGATCCGCTGTTTTTGAATGTGTAATCGCGTGCATTCTATTGGCAGCTCGAGAGCATTTTTCGTTCATTCATATTCGTTCTTTTAAGCATTGATAATATTGATATCTTTGATATCTTTAAACGAGCAATTCTTGTATATATATTATGTTACGGTAAATGTACACTTTTACCGGTAAATGTGCACATTTGCATAAAAGAAGTTAAGTATACGTGAACTGTATATAATGTATATGTACATTTCCCGGCAAATGTGTACTCTTCTTTGTCTTTGTCTTCTTTTTCTTGTCTTTGCGTTTTGGTAAATGTATACTCTTACCTTTATGTTTTAAGGAAAGTTACAGTAAATACAAATAAATTAATAATGTTGTTGCAGTAAACATTTTTTTATTTAAATAAGCATAATACAAAAGGCTTTAATAACGAAAACTATTATAATTAAAAAATATAAATGACAAACAAAACATACTTTTCTTTGCATATTATATAATATGTCGTAGGTTAAGTTAGGTTAGTTTGTAGTGGCGCATGCGCACCACATTACTAGCACTTGCGATTTCGTATTTTGTATGCCATTCTCACATTTACCAAAAAGACATGGTCATTCAATTCATGGTCCAAAACCACATGGTCATTCAATGTACATTTTCCTTCTTTGAAATTGTAAATGTTAGTTGAATGCACATTACCCAAACGAGGAGGCAAATGTGCACATTTACCGGAATATGTGTACATTTGCCGCAATATCTACTTTTACCGTAAAATAACAATTATATATATATAATCACTGTGACTGGACTCAGGCAGGGGGACGCTCTGTCACCAATGCTGTTGAACCTGGCACTTGAACACGCCATACGGAAAGTGAACACACTTAATGGCGGAGCGTGGCTCAATGGACAGCATTGAATGATAGTATATGCCGATGACCTCGCTCTACTTGGAGAAAGAAAGCAGCACGTATTAGACGCACTCAACTGCCTCCAACAAGAAGCCTCTTGGATTGGTCTTCGTGTGAACAACGAGAAGACAGAGTATCTTCACATGCGTCGATACAAAAACATAAGACGGAAGCGAGAAGACCTAGTTGTAGGAAATACGAGATACAAAGGAGTGGCCAAATTCCGGTAACTTGGCTGCACTGTAACAAATACCAATGACAGGGAAGATGAGATCGAAATACGTGTACAAAATACCCTACGATGCAGTGCAGCCCTACACCCGGTTCTCTCTTCGAAGCTACTAAGCAGGCGCACCAAGATTCTGATATACAAGACTGTAGTCAGACCGATCTTACTGTATGGATGCGAAGCATGAACGCTTATACAGAAAGAAGAGGCAAAACTTCTCGTGACGGAGCGAAAGGTATTGAGAAAAATACTAGGACCAGTTCAGAAAGAAGACGGTTCTTGGCACGTCCGGAAAAATAAGGACTAGATGTTTGAACGAGGTCACAGTCCACCTGGAGTTAAGTGGTTACCGGATCCCATAGACATCTAAAGCGTAAATACCGCCACCCACCTTGAGATATGACTTCTAAGGTCTCAGTATAGTTACAACGGCTGCCCCATCCTTCAAACCGAAACGCATTACTGCATCACGGCAGAAATAGGCAGGGTGGTGGTACCTACCCGTGCGGACTCACAAAAGGTCCTACCATCAGTAATTACGCAAATTATAATTTTGCAGGTTTTGATTTTTATTACACGATGTTATTCCTTCACCGTGGAAGTTAATCGTGAACTTTTGTTAGGTACGTATTTCATTAGAAAAATTGGTACCCGCCTGCGAAATTCAAACACAGTTGCATCATTCGAAAGGAATGCACCGGACGTCTTATACTTTAGGCCACAACGACTTCAAAATTATTAATGGGGGTAAAGGCCCAATAAATTTCGTTTCCAAAAAGGAGTCCGGCAAGGATTTGTTATCTCACCTATTCTCTTCAATATATATGGGGAATATATAATGCGCCAGACTTTAGAAAACTGGGAAGGAGGCGTTAGAATAGGTGGAGTTCAGATAACGAACCTGAGATATGCCGACCACACCACACTTCTTGCATCATCTGAAGCGGAGATGAAGGAGCTTCTGGACAGATTAGAGGCTATAAGCCTAAGCATGGTACTAGCAATTAACAAAAGCTAGACCAAGCTGCTAGTCATAGACCACTTCTCATCCACCCAGCGTACGGACCTTCTGGCAGAATACGAAGCCGTAGACCAGTTTGCCTACCTTGGTTCTGTGATCACGGATAAGGGGAGTTGTGAGCCTGAAATACGCCGACGTATCGGAATGGCTAAAACAGCTATGACGCAGTTGAGCAAAGTTTGAAAAGATCGTAATATTTCGAATAGGACCAAAATACACCTTGTGCAGTCACTGGTCTTTCCAATCGCTCTCTATGGAGCAGAAACATGGAAAAGAGTTGATGCTTTTGAAATGTGGTGTTGGCGCCGCCTATTAAGGATTCCATGGACAGCCCACAGCACGAACATCTCGGTCCTACAACATCTTAAAATGGAGAACGCTCAGCGCCTGTCTGCCACCTGTCTGCAACGCATAATGCGCAACTTTGCCCACGTTGCCCGTAGAGGTGTAAACAACTTGGAACGTCTGATAGTCACTGGAAAAGTAGAACGAAAACGTCCTAGAGGCCGGAGCCCCAAACGTTGGTCCGACCAGATCTCCGAGCAAACCAGCGGACCACTTAGCGCTGCACTACACCAGACAACTGACCGGAACCGATGGAGACCGGCAGTCGACAAGCTCAAACGGAGTCACGATCCTCAGCAATGAGGGAGCGATGGAGAAGAAAGAAAAGGCCCCAACCAATCAAGATGCTTAGTTTTAGATCTTTTAAATCCTAAATAAAGACAGTTCCTAATTAAGGAGATAGCAGCCACAAAAATACACACATTCAAATCATACAATCGTGATTCGGTTTTATTAACCAGGCCCAAACTAAAGGAACTAACTAAACTAAGCAAAAGAAACTTTCTTTGCAATTCTACGCACACATTCTTCATCAAATAAGGCTTAAATATTAAAAACTTGGTGAATAACGACATGGCATTGCCAATGTCTATAAGCAACGGCTTACCACCACTTACCACAAAGTGGGACGTCAACTTCCACGTAAGCCACTTTATAAAAAGGAAATACAAAATGGTTTTTTTTGTGTAGAAGCTAAGCGATTGTAATTTAGTCTCTAAAACAAATAAAGATTGATGTTTTACATGATGTTCAAGTGATGTGTAATTCAATTAGAGAAGTTGTTTTGTTTTTGCTGTTCGAAGAATTACTGCTATATTGTTATTTACTTTTAAAGTTGTTTTTAAATTTTTAGCCATTGTTTTGATGCTGTACTTTCGTTGTCTGGTATTGCATTTGTTACCTGAAACTATAAACAACCTGAAATGACCTTTTAACATTAAATCAAAGTCTCGATTGCATTATATTATTATACGATTGCTTTGAGGCTGAAATAACCACGGAGATACCTGTTTTTTTTTTTCAGGATTGTAAGATTACTGGTGGCCCGGAGGCTTTTCCAGTTTCACCAGGACAGGTGGGCACAGCAAAGGCTCAGCCAGGAGGGGTGGGATTTGCTAACAACTGCCCAAACGCTTCCGAAGGAGACCTAACAACTCAAGAGCAATTGCTCCGCGAATGAATCTACTACCGGATCGGAATCGCGACCCGTTGNGAGATACCTGTTTTTTTTCAGGATTGTAAGATTACTGGTGGCCCGGAGGCTTTTCCAGTTTCACCAGGACAGGTGGGCACAGCAAAGGCTCAGCCAGGAGGGGTGGGATTTGCTAACAACTGCCCAAACGCTTCCGAAGGAGACCTAACAACTCAAGAGCAATTGCTCCGCGAATGAATCTACTACCGGATCGGAATCGCGACCCGTTGAGAAGATCCGGCGAGGAACTCAGCGGGCTGATGTATGGGTTAGGTTGAATGTCGACCTCTTTGTCGAGTTCGACAAGTATGGTTACCGAAGTTCCTAAGCCTACTCCTAGTGTTGGAGCTGAAGACGTCTAATGCCAAGGTTATTGGATCTGATGGATCCGTAAGGACGTGTCTAGGGCATCGACGGTGACTGGCTCCTGCCTGATCAGGATTCGGGAAGTAGTCAGCGGCGGCAAAGATAAGGCGATTATCATGACGCATAGCCTTAGTACCGTTCCAAAGCTGACTTCATGTATTTCCGGATTGAGGCCCAGGTCGTCGTGTAGATCAACGTTCCTCACGAACCACGGAGCCCCGACGGCTAACCCGCAAAAGCGGGATTGTAGGGAATGGAGGGTGTCTATGTTTGTGCGGGCCGCGTAAGCGAACACCACACTCGCGTAAGTCATGACGGGCCTTCTGCAAGTTTTGTAAAGTGTCACCTTGTTCCGAAAGGACATTTTACTCCGCTTACAGATCATGGGATAGTCTGCCGAGAACAAATGCGGCACGGTCGCGGATTGTTTTTATATGCGGGCGGAATGTCATGGATGCATCCAGGGTGATTCTCAGGTACTTGACCTTCCTGGCCCAGGGTATAGGTTGGCCGTGAGATTTTAAAATTGTGCACCTACCGTCTATTTTTTCTATATTTCTAGACTTTCACGTTTCATTTCACACAGAACGACCTTACAGTATCTTGAAGTCTAGCACTTTGTATGACTATATAGTATTCGAAGCTTTGGAAATAAAAAACGAGAGATTACACCCCAAAAGTGGATTTTGATTAGTTCTGTTCTTTGAAGACTACATCACAAAAATAAGAAGTGTTCAGTGTGAAACTCCTCCCAGTCCTAGCTTAGCTCCGAATACCACATTCTCTATAAGTGTGGAAAATTTCATACTCCTCCGTCCGCGCAATTTTCGTAAAAAGGGATACAAAGTTTTTGCTTCACGTATTAATATATAGATAATGTCTCATGTAAATGCATACTGTGAAGGGAGTAAGGACAACAAACACATTGTTTTTTTTTTTAATAAAATGAAACAAACTGCTTTATAATTTTACTACACATCTCGG